GCATGATGCGAGGCTCCATTTCGGCGCACCCCTAACACGTTTCGTGGCCCCATCGGGAGCTCCACGGAAGGCCACATGCTGAGCAAGTCCATTTTGCCTCATCCCTCACACGCGTTGCGGCCCCATACGGAGCTCAACTGAACGCCTCCAGAGGCTCACCGAGGGCGACGACGACGACGACGACGATGACGGCGACAACACCGCTCTCCTGCCCCGAAGTGCGTCTTCTTTGCCGCGCGAGGGCCTCGCTTTGCGCTACTCGCTGCTGCAACGGGTTTGGTCCTTTGCCAAACTGTTTTTTCACACGGGAGGCCACTTGTGGACGTGGGCACACTGGCTTTCAACGCTCAACATGGTTGCCCACGTGGACTCCAAACAACATGCAATTGCACTGCTGCTGTGCAAGCTATGTGGTGCAAGCTGCGCGGTAAATGTAGCTGCGTGGTGAAATATATGTGGTGCAACCCATGCGGTGCAACCCATGTGGTGCAGGCTACGTTGTGCATGTCGTGACAGCTATGACGTGCAGGTGTCAGCTGTGCGGTCCAAGCTATGCGGTGCAGGCCATGTGGTGCAAGCTGTGCGGTGCAGTGGTGTGTGTGTGTGTGTTTGCGTACAGCATGTCCCCTGTTGCCTATCCGCCGGAGCAGTCGCCCTCTGCCCAGCCGCCGACGCCCAAAGTGTGTGTGTGTGTTTGTGTGTGTGTGTGTGCGTGTGTGTGTGTGTGTTTGTTTGTGTGTGTGGGTGTGGGGGGGCACGCGATTCGGTGCAAGTTGTGGGGTGCAAGCCCTTTGGCTGCAGCTGTGCGGTGCGAGCTCTGCGGCAGAGGCCCCGCGGTGCCCACCGTGCCGCCGCCCAGCGCACGAGGCGCCCGCGAGCCGCCCCCGGGCGAAACCTCGGCGGCCCTGCCCGGCGCACGCGGCGCGCGCGAGGCGCCGCAGAGGGCAGGCACCCCGAGGCCTCGGCGGAGCCGCCCTGCAGCGCACGAGGCGCCCACGAGGGCGCCCGCGGGAGGGCGCCTCGCGCGACGCCTCGGCGGAGCCCAGCCGCGCCCCCGAGGCGCCGCGCGGGGCGCCCCACGGGGAGGCGCCCACGGATCGCCCACGGGCGGGCTCCGGGCGAGACCGCGGCGGACCCCGCCAGCGTGAGCCAGGCACAGCGGAGCATCTGATCGACAAAAGCGTGAAGGCGAGACATCTGTGAATGCGGGATGACGATTAATAAACAAAATGGGGGGGAACGATTAAAATAATAGTTTTCTGTTATTTCTACACAATTTTCTGACTGGAGGAGAACGATTGAAAAGAAATAGTTTTCCAGCCCACGGCCGGTTTTTTCTAATCGTCATCCCGGGTGCCGCCGCGTGAACACGACCCCTGGTCATTTATTAATCGTCATCCTCCATTAGGAGGCAGCTGCTGCGAGGTTTTCGTCGGAAAGATTGAAAGGATTGAGCCCCAATGGGGGGCTGTTACACCGGAGTGGGCCTCGGTTAAACGGGATTAAGCCAGATTAAGCGGGATCAAAAGGGATCAAGCGGGATTAAGCCAGATTCCGGACCAAGGCAAAATCAGAATTTGACCTCCCAGGAGTTGCATCCGAATATCTGGACCCTCTTTCCCGGAGCAAGGCTGGGCCAACTTCTGTTGTTGACGCTGGAGGGGCGAGCGTTCTCAGGAAACTGGGGCAGCCTTCGGGCAAGTTTGCGAAGAAACGCTGGCGCATGTTTTGGGGAGGAGGTGTCCTCATTGATCAGATGCTCGACCGTAAGAATCCTAGGAGCGCAAGCGCCCCCTGTGGCCCTCTGGGGCCCCGGGGGGCAGGGGGAACGATAGGGGGAGGGGTGGCCCATCGGGGGGGGGGAACAGGACCGTGCGGGACGATCTGGGCACCCCTGGAACATCCTCGGCGGGGCGCGGCCGCGGGTGAACACCCCCGAGGCTGGCAGAAACCGCCGAGGGCCAACGAAGACGCCGGAGCAAATCCCAAACTTCGAACCACGCCCCCCCTGTCTCGGGGGCGCACAAGCATGGATCAGCGATCCATGGATTTGGCGCGGGAGGTCGCCAACTCCTTGCATCGGAGGAAGTGCCCTCCCAAAGAAATGCGGCCGATGCCGCCTCGCTCGGCGGCGGAAATCCGCGATGTCCCATGGAAACAGAACCCATCGCTACTCTTAAGTCGGGCCTGTCCCCCTACAGGGGGATTTTGGACGAAAAATAAAGAATAGTCAAAACACACCCAAACAGCATCAAAAATACTCCAACAGTCGTCCCCATACTATTTTTTGACTGTTTTGGAATATCCCCCCTGTAGAGGGACAGGCCCGGCCTAACGCTAATCCACGCCCCCTTGATTCATGTTTGCGATCACCTGAGCTTCCCCCCCCCTCTGAGCCTGTGCCCCCCCAACGCTGCCCCTGGCGGGGGGGGAGGGGGGCAGCCCGCGCATCGCGCCCCATGAGACAGCTGGCCGCCAGCAGTGCGCCTGCGGAGGGGGGTTGGGGGGGGGGAGGCGGCTGCTGGAAAGCACCCCGAGAAGCCAGAAGCGACGAGCAGCGACGAGAACCTCCGAAAAACTCGAACCTCCCCACTTCCCCCCCCCCTCTGAGCCTATAGCCCCCCCCCCCCCCCCCCCCCCCCCCCCCAAATGCTGCTGCTCTGAGCGGGGGTGCCCCGCGCATCGCGCCTTCTCGGCCCGGCTCCCCCGCGCGTGCTGCTCGGTGTCCAGGTGCTGCTGCAGGGCGCGCAGCTTCGAGCCCTGCGCTCGCGACAGCGGGGGCGGGCATGTGCGCGGCAGGCCACCGCTTGGCGCCGTGCTGGCTGCGGCGACTCCTGGGACGTCCTTGTGGGAACGGTGGCATGGGATACTGCACCAGCCTGGGGCGCCATGGACCCAGACCCCCTCGAGTCGCGAAGAACTCACGACGGGAGGTTCTTCGCTATTTTCGGCCTGCGGGGGCCCTCACAGGGCCTCGGGACCGTCAAAAGAACGACTCAGGATGAAAAGCTGGTTTCGGGGAGCGGGTCTGGACCTCTGAGGGTCGCGCCATGAAAAATCATGACGTCGGGGGTCTGGGTACGGCGACTCCTGGGAGGTCTTTGTGGGAACGATGGTAAGGGATACTGCACCAGATTGGGGCGCCATTCAGCCAGATCAGACCGGATTCCGCGGGGGATTGAGCCTAGCTGAGCGGTGCTGGGTCAGGCCGGTTCTCGACCACCAATGACGGCACCAGCGCCGATCCGATGCTAAAGTCAACCTCCCAGAGGTGGCACCCTAAGATTAGGTCGGGCATGTCCTCCTACCGTTTGGGGCGAAAGTTCATAATAGTTTGTAGATGCATCTATAGGTATAAGCATACATGGATATATATATATATATATATATATATAATGCAAAACAAATAGAAGTAGTCAAACATCGCTCCCACACAATGTTTGACTCTTTTTGAAGATTACATGCCCGACTCAACCTCAAGGCCTGGTGCAAGCGCCCTGGCGGCCGAGGCTGGGAGGGTCTGCGATGCCCCGTCCTGGGGGCCCAGGGTGGCCGTGGCCGCGGCCAGGCGAGGGCGGTCAGGGCAGAGACCAGCAGAACGTGCACATTCAAGCGAGACTGCATTCTTAGAGGTCCAGCGCATCGGTGAGCGCTTTTTGGATCGGCGCTTCGACACTGGGTGGGAAGCGGGGGAGGAGGGGGGGTTTGGCTGCGACCCTCTGCTTGGCGCGACTGTTTGCGACAGTGCGTCCTAGGAGGGGAGACTCCCCCTGCCTGAAGCAGGCGCCCAAAACGGCCAAGATCCAGGGGGGGAGGAGGCGGGGTTTGGCTCCGACCCTCTGCTTGGTGCGACTGTTTGCGACAGTGCGTCCCACGAGGGGAGACTCTTCCCCTGCCTGAAGCAGACGCCCAAAACGGCCAAGATCCAGGGGGGGAGGAAGGGGGGGGTTGGCTCCGACCCTCTGCTTGGTGCGACTGTTTGCGACAGTGCGTCCTACGAGGGGAGACGCCCCCTCTGCCTGAAACAGGCGCAAAAAAAACAGCCAAGATCCACTCCAGGGGGGGGGGGGAGGGGGGGGGGAGTTTGGGGGCCCGCGCCGATCGGCAAAACAATGAGTGAAGCAACTATCGCTTGAAAAAATCAAGCCAGATGTGTTTCGCCGTGCTCGGCCTCTATATAAGTCCCGGGGAAGGGGTCGAGCCTGACAGGGGGGGGGCGCCCCGCAAAAAAATCGCGACCTCGGATCTCTCTGGGTTGTGAGATTTATAGCTGCAGCGAGATGCACAGTGCACCGCCAGAGCTGACGCAAAAGCGCGAAGGCCATGCAGTTCTACACAGGCAACGAGCGTTCGATCCGAGCTGAGCTGGCGCGTGTGCTGCCGGTGCTCTCGGGTGACGTTGTCTGAGGCTGATGTGGCGAAGCTGGCAACTCGGGCTAACGACGGGAAAGGGATTGAAGCATGAATTCGAAGGGAGGGGGAGGGGGAGGGGAGGTGAGGGTAATTATGGGGTGGGTTCGGAAACGCATGGGAAGTCATGGCATAGAGCGAAGGAAAGCATCGAGAGAGACGGGAGTGACACTGCATTGCGTCGTCAAAGACGTGATGTGAAATTCATGGCCGATGATGAAGATCCCAGGTAGCACTCAACAAGTTTGACATGTTCGAGAATTCAGTCAGCGCACTTGTGAAACGATCGTGAACCAAGTGCGAGCCAACTGCGAATCACCCGTGGAGCCATTGTCAACGGACTGCGTGGTGGATGGGCGGATGAAGGCACGGATAGATGGGAGCAAGACTGCCTCGATGAATGCGAGCCGGATGCAACGCCACTCCCGTATAGAATGCTCCCGTTGGCATCAGTGGCCTCCCAGCTGTCTGCAATACAATGGTTACATGTGTGGGGCCATTCGCGGCTCGGAAAGGTGCAGACCCCACCCAGCGTGGCGATTCAGGCTCTTTTTGGTTGGAGGCGGCCGATGGGGGCAAGGCACTGCGGCTCAGCACGTAAAGACTCCCAGGAGCTTGAACTTCGCTCCCGCGACTAGCCGCACCTGCAAGGTGCCCTCCGAGTTGGGGGTCACCCCGAAGCCGTGCCTCACGTAGGAGACCTCGCCTGCCGAGTCGAGAGGGCGGGAGCGGGAACGTCGCATCCCGCAGATGCGGATAAGAGTGAGGGGGAGGCGGGGGCGTCGGCAGTCTGCGAGGCTCTGAAGAAGCCCGCCACAGGCGCCTACTTGTCACGAACTACACAACGAGCCCACCGAAGGCGCCGATTTTCTCGTTGAAGCAATGTGGGTGGGTCGCGACTGCTCGCCGACTGCTCGCCGACTGCTACGCAGTCGTACTGCTCGCCGACTGCTGGCGACCAGCATCATCACTGCGCCCAGCACGTCGGCGAGCAGTACGACCGAGAGCTTCATCACGAGCGTGACGAGCACGATCGGCACCAGCAGCATCACTGCGCCGAGCACGTCGATGAGGAGTACAACCGAGAGCAGCACCACCAGTGTGACGAGCGCAACCGGTGCCAGCAGCACCACTACGCCCAGTACGTCGGCGAGCAGTACGACAGAGAGCGGCACCAAGAATGGGACGAACACGACCAGTACCAGCAACTCCACGGTTCCCAACACGTCGGCAAGCAGTACGATCGGGAACAATACCACGACTCTGACGGGCATGGCCGATACCAGTATCACCACTGGGCTCAGCACGTCGGCAAGCAGTACAACCGAGAGCAGCATCACGAGCGTGACGGGCACGATCGGCACCAGCAGCACCATTACCCCAAGTACGTCGGTTAGCAATACAACCGAGAACCGCACTACGAGTGGGACGAGCACGACCGGTGCCAGCAGCAGCACGCCGGCGAGCAGTACGTTTGTGAGTGGCACCGCGAGTGGGGGACGAGCACGACCGATACTAGCATCACCACTGCGCCCAACACGTCGGCGATCAACACGACTGAGAGCAGCACCACGAGTGTGACGGGCACGTCCGATACCAGCACCACAACTGCACCCAGCACGTCGACGAGCAGTACAACAGAGAGCACCTTCACGAGTGTGACGAGCGCGATCGGCACTAGCAGCGTTATTATGCCAAGCACGTCGGCGAACAGTACAACCGAGAGCAGCACCACGAGTGCGACGAGCACGACCGGGGCCAGCAGCCCAGCTAGCGCGTCGGCGAGCAGTACGACCGAGAGCAGCACCACGAGCATGACGAGTGCGACCTGCACCAGCGGCACCACTACGCCCAGCATGTCAGCGAACAATACGACCGAGAGCAGCTCTACGAGTAGGACGGGTGCAACCGGTACCAGCGGCACCACTTCGCCCAGCATGTCGGCGAGCAGTACGACCGAGAGCAGCACCACGAGTACTACGAGGATGACCGGCACCAGCGGCATCACTACGGCCAGCGCGTCTGAGAGCAGTACGATCGAGAGCAGCACCGCGAGTATTGCGATTGCGACCGGTACCAACGGCACCACAACGCCAAGCACGTCGGCGAGCAGTGCGACCGAGAGCAGCACCACGGGTAGGGCGAACTCTACTGGTTTCAGCAGCACCACTACGCCCAGCACGTCGGCGAGCGGTACTACCGAGAGCAGCACCACGAGTAAGACGACTATGACCGCTACCAGCAGCACCACTACGCCCAGCAAGTTGGGGAGTGGTACGACCGAGAGCTGCACCACGAGTATTACGAGTACGACCGGTACCAGCGGCACCGCTAAGCCCAGCACGGCGGCGAGCAGCACGACCGAAGGCAGCACCACGAGTATGACGAGTACGACCTGTACTAGCGGCTCCACTACGCCCAGCACGCCGGCGAGCAGTACAACGGAAAGCAGCAAAACGAGTATGATGAGTACGATCGTTGCTCACATCACCACTACGCCCAGCCCCTCGGAGAGTAGTACGACCGAGAGCAGCACCACGAGCACGACGAATACAACCGGTACCAGCGTCACCACTACGCCCAGCACGGCGGAGAGTAGTACGACCGAGAGCAGCACCACGAGTACGACGAGTACGACCGGCACCAGCGACACCACTACGTCCAGCACGTCGACGGAGCGGCGCCGGTGATTAGCGCCGACGCCCAGCCGCCAACGAGGGGCAAGGGGGGGGTTGGAGGCAAGGGCGAGCCAGGGCGCCCCTCTTTCTGTCGAACCGATGCGGGCCTGCGGGCAAGGCGGGTTGGACGAAAGCTGGGCGCAGCAAAGGGGGGTCTGCCAAGCAGCAGACGTCGCGGATGTTCCAAGCGCCTGCTGGCGCCGAAAACGGCCATGCGTCGAGGACTGGCCCGTCGGCGGGGCGACCGAAACCAGCTGCGCGCACCAGGCTTTGCGACCCCCCCTTTCCTTCCCCAGCCTTTCGTCCGACCCGAGCAAGGCGGGTAGTCCTCCTCCCCTTTTCTGTCGCCGTCGTCGCCGCCGTCCCCCGCCCTGCCTGCGCCCGTTTCCAGCGGCCGCCCTCTTCGTCGACGACGAAACGACGACGACGGGATGAGGACGAGGACGAAGGACGGCGGACGGCGGACGGCGACGGCGGCGACGACGACGACGACGCACTGCGGAGGCCTTGGGGGAGGGGGGGGGGGGTGCTGGGCAGGCCCGCTGTAGTCAACGACGACGACGACGACGACGAAAACGACGACGAAAACGACGACGACGACGAGGACGACGAAGACGAAGACGAAGAAGAAGAAAAACAAAAAAGAAGACAACGACGACGATAACGACGACGACGACGACGATGACGACGACGACGACGACGACGGCGACGACGACGACGACGACGCCTGAGAAGGGGAACGAAAATTCGCCTCGGATGTTTACGATCCCTATAACAGTTTCTATACGACAGGCAATCGTTTTGAGGCTGTCATGTAAGGGGGTACACGATCCCCTTGGTGGCGCCAGCGACGACCCCCTGGCGCGCGTGATACAAAAAAAGGTTTCGCGCCCCGCGGGGTCCATTCATCAACCCGGGGGGGGGGGGCCTTTGTGTTAATCACAAGCTGACATCATGAGGTGCGGCCAGGAACTTGTGCTCAGCGAGTCGCGGGGCCGTAGCCATTTTGGCTCAAGCGCGCTTGCCCTGGAGCATCGTGCTTGGCCGCAACTTAAAAGGGCTGCCCCGACCGCACGTGCGCTCGCGCGCGGCGCGCGGGGCCCTCCCGCGGCGCGGGCCCCGTGTAGTGGCTGGCTTCTGCGGGGCGGCAGCGCGACCGCTCCTCCTGGCAGGTTGGGCCTGGGCGTACACTGCCTCTGCCCAGCTCGAGCTCGCAGACGGCCCGCCTCTCCCGGCGCCGCGCCAGGTGTCCGGTGGCCGCTCGGCGCCGCGGGAGCCGAGCCGCCCAACAGAGAAAGGTGGAGCCTCCCAGCTGGTTGCGGCGGGGGCTCGCGGAGCAGCGCGGCGAGCAGCATACCGAGGACATCTGCTCGGAGCCCGCGGCGGCGCGGCCGCTCGCCCTCCCTCTCGCGGAGGGCCCACGGCCGCCGCGGCAGGGGAGGCGGCGCCAGCGCGCCTCGAGCCCGGACTTCGGGCGGGCCGCACTGCGGGAAACGGAGCTATGATATGTGTGAACGCCCCCCCGCGAAGCAGCCGAAAGCGCGGGCGCAGCACGAGCCCGGGAGCGACGGGCCACGCGAGGCGCAGCAGCAGTATCGGCGCCAACAGGGCGCGCCGCGGGCGACCCCACCGAAAGCCCGGCGCCCGCTGCCGCCGCCCCCGACGGCGCGGCCGCCCACCGCCCAGGAGAAGCGGGGGAGCAACGCGACGGGCGCCCCCGCGGCGCCGCGCCGAGGCCAGCTCCGCGCAGAGCGACCAGGGGCCGGCGGGCGGCTTCGGGGGCAGGGCGGTGAGCCCCGCAAGCCACTACAGCTCCTCTCGTCCCCCTCCCCCCCAAGATGGGATGGGCCCACGGCCCCACGGGCCCCCCCACACCAAACGTGAGGGGCAGGAGCAGGAGGCGGAGGAGGAGGAGGAAGAGGGATATTCTGCCGCAGCGCAGCATGCAGCCCGCACATCACCTCAGGGGAGGGCGAGACCCCCGAAGCAAAAAACAAAACCACACACCGACCTCTAAGAGGCAGGCTCGATGTTTACACCCGCGCACACAGGCTGGGCGAGAAGAAACACAAGGTGAAGCCCTGCCTGGTCAGGAAGGGGCCGTTCTAGACCAGAACGACCCTGTTCTGGACTAGAACGGCCCTGTTCTAGCCAAGAACGGGCCCGTTCTAGGCTAGAACGGGCGGGTGCTGCCTCGGGGCAGCCCCGGCACAGGACCCGACCCACGACACCACCATGCACAAAGACATATATGGGGCAACCCCCAAAATGTCCGAACTGGGCCGCTGCCATCGCGGCGAGGGAAGAAGCGTGCTGGAACAAGACGGCAACGCACAAGAAGAAACGAAATGCGAAGCCTAGCCAGACAACACAAAGTAGGGCGGGGCGGGTACTGACTCGGGGCAACCCCAGAACATGACCCGACCCCCGACCCCACCATCTGACCAGACAGATCAGGATCAAGTTCCTAAATGCCTACTCAGTGTCGCTGTCTCCGCGGTAAGGAATGGTGCGTGCCGGCTCTGGCCTGCGACGCCCACGATCCTCATGCAGGCTCGAAGTGGAAGCCGAGATGAGGAGAAGGAGAAGGAGGAGGAGGAGGAGGCGGAGGCGGAGGAGGAGGAAGCGGAGGCGGAGGAGGAGGAGGAGGAGGAGGCGGAGGAGGAGGCGGAGGAGGAGGAGGAGGGAGGGCGGAGGAGGGGAGGAGGAGGAGGAGGCGGAGGAGGAGGAGGCGGAGGGGGAGGAGGAGGAGGAGGAGGCGGAGGAGGAGGAGGAGGAGGAGGAGGAGGAGGCGGAGGGAGGAGGAGGAGGAGGAGGAGGCGGAGGGAGGAGGAGGAGGCTCTGCAGGATGCAGACCCGCTGCGGCGGCGCCGAAAGAGGCGGCAGGCGGCCGCGGGACGGCGCAAAAGGACTCGAAGGCGAGGCGGCCACCACTCCGTCTGGCGCCCGGGGGGGCGTCGAGCGAGGGGCGCGGCCACAGAAGAGCCACTGCGTGGAAAAGTTGTTGGCTCGAGCAGGGTGACGGGGAGGGAGGCGGAGGAGTTGCAGGGCTACGAGGAGGGGCGGGGGCGGAGGAGGACTGGAACGAGGATGGGGGGGAGACGGAGGCGAAGGAATACTCGGGAAGGAAGGGGGGGAGGAGGATCGGAACGAGGCGGGGATACGGGAATGGGAGGAAGGCGTGGGACATACGTACTGCTCTGCTTTGCACCCCGGCAAAGTGCCGATGGGCTCCGCAGAGTGCGGCGCCGAGGCGTTGAAGTACACTGTGAAGGCCTGCGAGCTGCTGGACTCCCAATAGCCTCTCAGCGTGTACGCTTTCTCGAGGAGGCGCACCTCTCCCCCGCTCCCACTCGCCTCTCTCCCCTCCGTCGCCTCCCACCCAAAACCCTCCCCCTCACTCTTCTTCTTCTCCTCCTCCTCCTCCTCCTCCTCCTCCTCCTCCTCCTCCTCACGCCTCTTCTTCTCCTCCCTCCCATCACTCTCCTCCTCCTGTCCTCCTCCTCCTCCTCTCTCCTCTCCTCCTCCTCCTCAGGTTTCTTCTTTTCCTCCTCCTCCTCCTCCTTCCCCCCACCCTCCTCCTCCTCCTCCTCCTCCTCCTCCTCCTCCTCCTCCCCCTCCTCCTCCTCCTCCTCCTCGTCTCTTCATCGCTTATCCGCCTCATCCTCCCGACCATCGTCGGATCTTCATCATCCTGCTCCAGTTGCGGTTCAAGTTCTCCCGTTGCCAAATGTTCTGTATTACAGACCGAAGGGGTTGCAGAAGCATAACAGATCCCCACCATTCATCATCCGTTGATGCTCATTCGCCGCACCTCTCTACGCCAACGAAACCCAACGGCCTCACGGTACGCAAGAACCATGTGGCAGCGCGTGCGGAAGAACACGCGCAGACAGGATCTGCTCCTTCACGTCTCTCTCCCTCTCTTTCAGGCCAGCATCAGAGAATGCATTTCCCGCGGAACACCCGCGCTGGGGCGCAGATATTTGCCACGGTCCAAGATCTCTCGTTAGGCTCAGGCTGCCGGAAAGGGCACTCGAATTGCGGGGTGGCCAGAGCCGAGATGCCTGTTCATTGCTTACCTGTTAGCGGGTCGACGGTCAAGCGAACGTGCCAAACCTGGTTGGTGCCTGACTCTGACTGCGCAGGGATAACTGCACCAGTGGTGGTTGCACAATGGATGCAGAATGAATGGCCGTATCAAGAACAACTGTGGCGGGAATATGCCGTGGGTGGCAGTATGAGTGGTGGCGTTCGTCCCAGCTGAGAACGCACAACGCAGAACTGTAGCAAATGTGACCGAACAACGCATGATTCAAAGCAGCCGATCGGACGGCAGGCGACAGGGCTCAATGTGACTAAAGCCAACGTGGGCATCATGGACCATGTCAAGTTTGACTGACTGTGGATATGGCCACCGAGCTCGGATAAACCTACACGCGCTGCTAGGTCAGCGCACCAATACTGCAATCGCTGTCTCCCTATACATTGCCGTGCTTCTGGCTCCTTATCTGCGCATGCCGAAGAACGATCGCACTGAAGTTGACCTGACCAACATCAAAACGCTTGCACAAGGTAGCTCACAATTGAAGGCATGAACAACAATCTGTATCCATGGTGGCCATACCATCCCCACCACACTGCGATACTACCACGGGCCATGTGACGTGACTGACTGTTGTGTAAGTCAGTCAATGTATAACGCAAGTTGCCCAGCTGCTTTAAGGTTCGGTACGGCTCAATACACAAGCAGCGAGGCAGACTGCGGTTTCGGAGCAACAAAGTCGTGCGCAGCGCACCAGCGTGCTGCGTGGTGTCGGCGTGGGCTATTGACACATGCGTGCAAACTGCGTAGACTGGTGGCAGCGACGCAAGAGAGACGACAACGCCGAGAGAGAAAATGGGAAAGGATGGCAATGGCACTTCCTATCGCCTCCACACGTCTCCACACTGGCCCACCGACAGAGCCCGTGCACACATTGCCCACGCACACACAAACACACCAGTCCCCTCGCAGCCGCGCGCGTGGACGCACGCGCTGACGTGCGCGTGCGCACGCTCGCGCGCATGTGCCTGGTGCACCTGCACTCTGTCGGGCGCGCGCAGGTGCAGCGCTCGCGCCCCACCATCCAAGGGTACCTTCACCGGCACGCACCAGAGCATCCAACGAACACAAAGAACATCAGGGCCCCCTCCCCGAACCGACCCCGATCTTTTACACCTCGGCCCGACGGTACTCATCCAGAGAAAGGTTCGCGGCGCGCGGGCTCGCGCGCGCCGCATCCGCCACCTGGCTCCCGCGAGCCGGAGAGTCCCCGCCGACCTCAGCGTCACCCATGCCGCTGTAGGACTTGACCTCAGCTTCCCCTCTTCCCTGAGACGGCGCCAGGACGGGGAGAAATTCGAGTGAGGATAAATCGAGAATCTCTGGGATCCGGCGGCTCTGGAGGATGTATCGGGCGCCGCAGCCTCCTCAGATCATTCTGGTACGGTCTGAGAGCTTTCGCGAGCCTTCCAGAACGCTCTGGGACGGATTTGTCCTCGTTCTGGCCCCGACCGATTCCCCCTTCCCCCCCATGGCCACGCGAGGAGGAGGACTCTCAGGAGGCATCTCGTGTGAGGTAGCTATGTCGTGGGAACCATCACGCGGCCACCACGCCAGAGTTAAGCCACGCAGGCCCAGGATACCGGCGCCGATGTTGAACTCGGTCCTGACCCTACTGGAGCTGCAGCCGAGAAACTCTGAGGGGCGACATTCGGTGGGGGCATGGGACAAGGAAACCTTCGACAAGGAATCCAGGGTCTGGAAGCCAGTGGAAGGCCGATCGTGGATTGGCCATGGATATCACCGCCACCCTCATAAGATAAGGAATCCTCCAGGGTCTGAAACCTCCTGGGCACACTCCTTAACAAACGCCCCCACCGTAACGCCCCTACCCTGGGTTACGAGTGCGTGGTCTGTAAGCCTCCTGGGAGCTCAAAGCCAGGGGACCGCCAGGAACGCCGCGCGACGCGCGCGATGCGCAGGGTTTCCCCTGTCAGCCCATAGGAGGTTCAGCGCACAGCGCCTCGAACACCAGGGTAGGGGCGTCTTTGACGCCCTCGAAAACTGTTGGGATTGCTCTATCGCGTGGAGATGTGAAAGGCTCCACCTCTCGCGCCAGAAGCCCGCGGCTCAACACGTGGAACTGGGGCCAAAACAAGACAGCGAGTCCTGCCGAGACGCTTCTCGCTGGCCCAACGGCCAGGGGAGGGAGGGGGAGAGCGGAAGGAGAAGTGAGGGTGGAGGAATATGAGGAGGGGGATGGCTGCGCTCCTGTTGAAGCATGCGCGGGAACTACCCAGAAAATGCGGCTCAGACCAGCATTTGCTCACGCTGCGTTGACACGTGGCTCGACTTGCAAGTCAGGCGGCAACTAACTCCTCCACCCCGTTCCTTCCTCTGGTCCTCCTCCTTATCCCTTACCCATAATCGCTTATCATCCCTCCGACTGGCCACGTACGCTGATACTGCATCATGAATAGCCTCATGTCTCCTCATTCCCCCTTCTTCTTCCTCCATCCTCATCCCTCCTCCTCCCCCAGTATTGCTCATTCGTTCCTCCTCATCCCTGTTCTTCTCCCCATGCCCATCCTCATTCCTGCTTCTTCTCCTCGTCCATCCCTCTTCATCGTCCTGATCGTCATCCGTAGCCTCCTCTCCTTCTTCATATTCTTCCGTATGCTCCCCCAACCCCCTTCGTCGTCCTCATCCTCCTCGCGTTTCTCCTCCTCGTCCTCCCCCTCCCCTCGTCCTCCCACCTGCCCATTCATCTCTTCTCCTCCTCCTCCTCCTCCTCCTCCTCCTCCTCGCCCTCCTCCTCACACCTCTCGGGGACACCGCGCGCGGTCTCCTCCGGGGGGCGCTCCCGCCACGGCCTTCCTGCTGAGGGCGCCGCGAACTGGACGGTCAGCACGGGGCGGCTGCCGAACGCCACGGGGAACTCCAGCCAGTCATCCTGGGGGCCAGAGGCCGAGACGCCAGGATCGACGAAGATACGGAGGGGGGGGGCGAGGAGAATAGACACAGATTGTCATGCGCGCCTCCCCGAGGGAGTTAGGCTCGGGGGCCAGTCTTGGCGGTCCCGTCGGCGTTTTGTTCTGGCCATTCCGTTCGGGACGTGCGCACCATCCTGAAAGAGAAACACACGCATACTTAGGTCGGGCATGTCTCCCTACAGGCGGAGTTTGGACGAAAAATGAAAAATAGTCAAAGCATGCCCCCAAATGCTCAAAAATAGTCAACAAATCGTCCCCCGATTATTTTTTTAGGCTATTTTTGGAGGTTCCTCCTGTAGAGGGACAGGCCCGACTTAAACGTATACCGAACGTTTTGGTGTAGGTTCCACACCCGATCAGCAGGGGGTGGCCCTTGCAAGCCGATTCACCACGAACCCATCTTGCTCGGCTGCGGCAGGCAGCGCCTCCGGACGCACTCCCTCGGCCAGCATGGGCTGGCCCCCCCCCCCCACCCCGAGGTCCTCGTCGGCCGACGACTTGCGGAATGCGCTCCTCACGCCGACAGCGACCTCTTCTGCGCTCCGTCCGGTCGCAGGCCGTGGCCGGCCCATGGGTGCCCCGCCCTCCCAACCCCCCCCCACGGCTGGCTGTTGTAGGGAGCCCGGGCGCGCCACGGGCCACTCGAGCAGTGATCCTCAGTGGGGGCCCGACCGCCGATGCCTCGTCAGAGGTGCTGTGAACCAGTGCGGCTGGGAGGCCTTCAGAGGGCAGCTTCGCTCCGCCTCCGCGCTCTCTGCTGGCGCTGAACGGAGTGCTCGGGCCCCAGTGCGCCCTGAGGCGTGGGCGTACAATCAAAGCGTGTATTCAGGACGGGTAGTAAGGACGCAAGACCCTTGGAGCCGAAATTTGGCTATTTTTGGCTGGCGGACGACCAGTGAAAACGGCAGAGGACGGGCCGCAGAGGCAAGGATACAAGGGCACCCTAGACAAAGGCCCGCGTCATTACGAGGCGCCTTGACTGCACATGCTCGCAGGGGACGGTGCCTAGGCTCAGAACTGGAGCTGGACCACTGTTCGGCGCAATGTGTATCTGGCGCACTTTACATGTCATAATATGCATGGCAAATGGCGCAGTCTATGCGATGCCATCGATGTGGAGCGGCGTAGGTGGCGCAACATGTGGTGCAACTCATGGGGTGTGGTTAGATTCGACCGCCTTGAAGTCGTCAACGCCGCTCTGCGCGGAATCATCGCAACCTCCCACCCAACACTTGTTTGGCAAAGCCGTCCGGCCACGCTTGCGACGGCCGGCGAGAGCTTGCCAGCTCGTCTCTACGACCGCGATGGCGCGCGCACGCTCGCGCGCACAGCGACCAGCTGTTTTTGCGCAGCTGACGCAGCCGCGATGGCGCTGACCGATGGGAACTCCCCAGCGCGTGTGAAAGGCCGCGCTGGCACGCGGGCACTTCAGTGCGACGGTGGTCGGTGCCTCCGGCGGGCGCGATATCACGATGGTGAAAATAACGACTGCGGTGGCGATGATGACGGCGATGACGGCAAAGCCAATGACGGCGTCGATGCTGGTGACGACGATGGCGATGACAAGATTCATGTGCCGGTGTTTGAGGTTTTCATGATGGTGGCGGCAATGGCGGCGGTTGACAATGACGATACTGGCAGTGACGCGATGGCGCTGATGAGGGTGATGGAGAATTGCGCGCGCAGACTTTAAACTTATCTGGCATAATGTTTACTGGAAATGAATGTTCCATATGTGTTCGGGGAACTCGATCATCAAATGCGTGGAACACACATTGTGTAGGAATGGTTTTGACATGCGCGCGCGGCGGCGCGCGCATGTTGCAGGCATGGTGATCTGTGATGCAGAGTCGCGCGCTGGGAGCACGCCAACTCAACGCGGAGGCCCTGCGTGGTGAGATGAGAATGCGGCTTCTGGGCGATGAAAAAAAAACATCACACGGCTTTCCTCAGAGTCCAGCGCGTGCGCGCAAACAGAAATGTGGCCATATCCCTGTCTCGAGACAGGCCGGGTGTTGGCATTATCGGTTGGCATGCGTGCGGAACGAATGTGAGGTGGTCTGACTTCGCCACGTGCGCGCACGCGCAGGCGTTGCTGCATTTTCCCCTGACAGTGCCGAGAGGTTATCCCTTCCCTCCTTAGAAAGTGGCCCCGTTCCCGTCCGTCGCCGCACCACGCTCCCACACAGCAGCCACGTCCGCGCACGCGGCGGCCCCGTTCCCGTGCGTCGTCGCCGCCCCGTTGAGCCCCTCCCCCGTGGCATTGCAATCGCATTGCGCTGCAATCGCGTTGCGTCGCGCTGTGTTCCTTTGCACTGCGTTGCGCTGTCGTGCTTGTCTCGCATGGCATTGCATTGCGTTGCATGGTTTTGCATGCCTTCTGCATTGCGGCACATTGCTCTGCATTGCTTTGGGCTCTTTCGCATTGCAGTGCAAGGCTTCGCATTGCTTGGCATTGGTTGGTATTGCTTTGCAGCGCATGGCTTTGCCCTGGTTTGCAAAGATTTGCATTGTTTTGCATTGCTTTGGACCACATAGATTATACAACATGGACTGCAGCAACCACGTTGCACCACATCGATTGCACTCCCTGGGTTGCACCGCGTGGAAGGCAAGAGATCACTGCTCCAGCTGACGTTCCCCAAACAATGCTTACACCTAGGGCTTCTTGCTTGGTTTCTAAGGTATCGGGAGCGGCCAAGAGGGGGGTGTCCAAGAGGGGGGGGTGCAAACCATGACCGGCGGCACGTGCGCGGCCCAGTGGGGGGGGGGGGCCAGGGACGCCATGAGATAAGAAGAGAGGCGCCATGAAATCTGGGGAAAAATCGTGGCCCCCGCCATGATATCCACCCCCCCCTAGTCATCACCCCCCTCTTCTCCGCCCCCGAAGGTAACATCAGGAGGAGGAGGAGGAGGAGGAGGAGGAGGAGGAGGAGGAGGAGGAAGGTAACACTGAGCCCGAGTGCCCGTCCGGCCGGTCCGTTGTCGCCCGTCGCCGCCGCTGTCGCCGCCGCCGTCGCCGCTGTGGTGACTTGGCCCGAGGATTGCTGGTCCTGGCTGGGGCTCGTTGCCGCCCGTCGCCGCCGTCGACCCGCGGGATTGCTTTTTGCACCGCAGTCGGACTGCACTGCGATTTGCACTGCTCTGCATGGATCTGCACTTCTTGGCATCGCGCTGCACTTCTCTGCATTGTTTTGCACTGTTTTGCATTGCATTGCATTGCATTGCATTGCATTGCATTGCATTGCTGTGCATTGCTTTGGATTGCTTGGCAATGCTAGGCATTGCTTGGCATCGCTCTGCTGTGGATTGGCTTGCCTGGCTCTGCGTTGCTTTTTGCAGTGCTTTGCATTCCTTTGTGTTGCCTGGCATTGCTGTGCTTTGCTTTGCATCGCTGTGCATTGTTCTGCGTTGCTTTACATTGATTTGTTTTGCTTTGCGCCACGTAGGTTTCACCACATCAATGTCACCCTCTAGATTGCACAACATTGGTTGCAAACAATAACTGTTTGGGGTCCACGCTGGCTAATATTTTCTGGTTGCAAGGAGTTATCGAAAAAATGATTGCTTGATTTAAATATATTACGCGCGCATGGCATGATTTGACATGGGGTGACGGGTGAGTGTCGATACCAAGTGGGCTGGGATGAAACGAGTTCATATGGCAAATGAAGGACGAGGCTCAATCACCATATGCAAATTGCAATACCCTAAGTTGGGCCCTGAAGTCTGGGCTCGGGAGGTGGCAGAGTGCATTCTTCTTCAGAGTGGAGGCTGCAGCGTGTGTGATGCCACCTGCCGTACGTGGGGGCAACCTATGACCCACAATTTCAGTGAGGCAAGATGTGGTACAACCCACGTGGTGCAAGCTGTGGCATTCAACTATGTGGCCCAACCTATGCCCTATGCGGTGCTACCCGTGTCAGACAGCGCTCGAGGTGGCGACGCGGCGCCCACGGGCGGGCCCCGACCAGAAACCCGGGAAAACCCAGCCAACGCACACGGCGGCCAACGAGGCGCCCGTGGGCGTGCACCAGTCGAGGATCGGAAGCACCAAAAACCGACGCACAGTGCAACCACGACGAGGCCCACGATCGTGCGCTGGCCTATGAAGCGCCAGCCAAATACTGGGGAACGCAAGCGATGACCCTTTAGTGCAGGCGCTCTCGGGGGGGAGCCACGGTCAGGCACTTGTGCTTGGCCTGTCCCCGGCGACGCGCTCTGCACTGCAAGCGGATCGCGTGCCGCTCTGGCTCGCGGGACGAGAGGCTGGAAAAGGCTCGAGGCGAGGACGACTTGGAATTGGCACCTCGTTAGTCAGCGAACCGCACCGAAACATGGTGGGCCAGAACCGGCGCCGAGACACGCTAAGCCAACATTCCCTATCGTAGCTCCGCGACGCTTCGCCAGCTTCTTGTGCTCTTGCTCCTGTTCTCGCGCAGCAGAGCAGAGCACACGGCAGACGGGCTCCCCGAGAGCGAGGCGGAGGCGGAGGAGGGAGAGGAGGAGGAGGTGGAGGAGGAATAGGAGGAGGGGGAGGAGGAGGGGGAGGAGGGGGAGCAGGATGAGGAGGAGGAGGAGGAGGAGGGTGAGGAGAAGGAGGCGGAGGAGGACGAGCAGGAGCAGGAGGAGGAGGAGGAGGAGGAGGCCCCAGACGAGGACGAGAACAGAGAGGCCTGCTCGCTCCGCGAAGCTCCCGCCGTCGGGAAGGGCTGGCCAGCAAGAGTGCCGCCGCGTAGCCTCGTGGAACACAGGAGACCCTGTGCGAGCGCGGGCGGCCAGCGCGGCGGGCCACCGCTCCGCAGCGCCCCCCCGTTCAGGATTGCTGTCTGCGGCGAGGCAGAGGCAGTCCGCTCCAGCGTGTGGCCACGCGGGGCAACCGGAAGGCAAGCCAGCCGGCGTACCAGCGGGGGACGGAAGAAGACGAGAACCAGCTCAGGAACTGAGAGAGGGATGATCGAACCAATGAGCATGTCAACATATGCCCACCCTCTGGGGAACAGCGCCCGCACTGTGAGTCGGGATGCCCCCCAGAGACGCGTGCGCCGTAAGGGCAGCGCACGGGGAGGTGAGAGGTGGAGCTGTGCAGGTTGCCACCGTCCAGGCCTGCACCATCGCACACAGGAACAAGGGGGGAGCGACGACACCACCACCAGCGCGAGGAGCCTGGGGGAGTGGTGTGGGGTCGCTCCTCGAGGCTTCCCAAGTCCCCGGCTCGAGGAAGCAAGGTGGACCTCATCGCCGGAGGTGGCCCCCTCTGGTGGTGGTGGCGCCACTGTTCTTTCCCCTGCGCCTCTCCCCTCCCTGCCCCCCCCCCCTGGCCCTTGTTCCCTGCAGACGCTGGCAGTTCGCTTCATGATCTCGCTCGCTTCAGGGCTGATCCAGAAGATCGGCCGCGCCACGCTCTCGAGAGCCCCTGGAGAGCTGCACCCACCTTCCTTGCGTGCCTCCCGCCGCCACTGCGCCATGGATCTGGAACGCTCAAACCCACGGCATCGGCCAACCGACACCTATGCTGCAAGAGGACGAGGTGGAGGTTAGGACACGACTGCGCAAGAAGGCGTGAAGTCGACGTTCGCCGAGAGCCACTGGTGAATTGCACGCGTGAGCTGGCCAAAGCGAGAGGAGGAACCGAATGGCCGGGCTGCCCGGGAATCCTGCTTGGGGGACCTCGCCGTCGGGCTGCCCTGCGCGATCCAGCCGGGCTTCCCCGGCGAGTCCTCTGGAGAGGAGGGGAGGCGGAGGTGGGAATGGAGGTGTGGGGGAGGAGGGGAGAGCGGGGAGGAGGTGGGGACAAGCTAGGTGCGCTCGCGTCATATCTGACGTCCTACCCCTCCCTCCCATCCCTTACCATGGGCGTAGATCTTCTCTCGATTCGCACAGTCGGATGTCGTAACAGGGCATAGCATTACATGACATATCATGGTGTTGAAGGTCAACGCATAGCCTGACATAGCATGGCCTGGCGACGCCCCAAAGAGAAGGGGGGCTTCTGCGGCACAAAAAATCAAAGAGCCGACACCGAAAGTGTAATCACTTCCGATGGTTGCTGCGGGGGGGCATGTTCTAGATTCTGGGGCCTATTTGGCAGGAGCGAAAACATGGCGTGATGGCGCTGAAAATAATGACGCCAGCCCTGCAGCGGGAGCACGATTCGGAACGAGCGGAAGTACGGCAATGAGGCCAGCGCTGCAGCGGGAACACGATTCGGAACGACCTGTAGCTCGAAAGTGAAGCCAGCGCTTCAGCGAGAGCAGCATTTTGAAACAAAAGCCAGCGAAAACCCGTTTCCCAGGAATCCTGTGTAAAAAAACGATACGCGGAGGGGGGCCGAACACTTTGCCGGACGTCACCAGGGGAGAGGAGAATGATGTGCATATTGTGTAATTGTGAGGCGGGGGGGGAGTGGGGAGGTGTAACAAGGGAGATGTCGACCCCCATCCCAGGCTTCGCGGGGTCTTCGAATGGACCAGACATTTGGGACCCAACTCTGGGATATACGATGGAGGGGCGTCCGTCCTCGACAGGGGTGCGCCCGAACAGCTCCCTTGGGGTGTATCTCAGGGTTCCCCTCCATGTCTGAGCGGCTTCAGTCTTCGTCGACAAGTTGGGGGGGGAAGTCCCCTGCGAAGCTTGGGAGGAGGTGGACAGGATGCAAAAGAAGCCATTTGGGAAGGTTGCCCATCCTTATTATGCGGGTTTACTGTAGGGTGCTTCGAAACATTTGCCTCCCCCTATCGCGCCGCTCAAATCACGAAGAGGCATCCACACAGTCCAGCTGTGCAACATGCCCGAGGGCTGCCACGGTGCACGTGACTCAGAAGGTCACCCGTACATGATTCGATGCTGAGGGGCCTGCTTTCAACCCCCACCACCATAAGTCGGAGGGGGAAGGAGGTCGAGGACGAGGAGGAGGAGGTGGATGACGAGGACGAGGATGAGGAGGAGGAGGAGGAGGACCCCCTCCCACTCCAACTGATGGTGGTGGTGGAAAACAGGCCTATCCGATGCGGCAGCCGCTCTCGCAGATTAGATGGTTCACTGGATGCGCCCATGGCACCCCTCTTTGGCACGCCTGCCGGCCTCCTGCTTGCCTCGCAGCCGGTGTGGCTCGTCGCCGCGACGCTCTGCGGCCGCCGTCGCCTGCGTTCCGATGTCCTCCACCCGATCCCGCATCATCGTTCGGAGCTCGGCATACCAATTGTTCGCACTGTAGCGGCAGCAGTTCGGACCCGCCTCCCGCCCCTCGAGCGCTCGCCGTACCTTGCGATGGGGTCGTGGTCACGACCGTCCAGCCCACCAGGCACAAGGCCACCCAAATTGCGGACGGCTCCGAACCGAGCACACCGCTCGCGTGAGACGGCAACGGCAACGGACCAGCGGGCGTCGGCAACGGACCCACAGGCGATGGGGTCGGTGGTCTTTGTTTTTGTTGCCTTTTGGTCCTCCCTCGTTTCCTCGTCCTCTTGCCCCCCACCCCTCGCCCTTGCCCCCCTCTCCTCGTCCCCCGAGTTCTCCTCCTGCTCCTCCTCCGCGCCCACGCCCTCGTCATCCTCCCCATCGTCGTCGTCCTCCTCCTCCTCCTCCTCCTGACCGATGCCTCCACACTGACTTTAGGACCATGGCTCGGGCCTCTCAATCCTGCGGCTGTCCAGGGCGATCCGGGCACCCCCGGCTTGTTGCCCCGAGGACGCGCAGTTGCCGGAGCGCATCCCGAGGTCGGAAAAGCGTCGAAGAGCCGACGAAAACTTCAGAAGACGCTCCTGGGAGCCTTTCCTAATCACCCGAGTGGCCGCAGTGGCTCCTCCAATGGCCACCATTGGACCCCAGCGGCCTACCACAAGCCTAGAGCCGCCTCCAGTGTCTCCTCCAGTGGTTCCCCGCGGCCTCCAATGGCCTCCAGTGGCCTCCCGTAGCCCCCAGTGGCCTCCAGTGGGGCGAGCAAACGACTGTGGACCACTGGAGGCGCAGGAAAGCCAGGCCAAATGATCATAAGAGGCTCCCAAGATCGTCTCCTGAACGAAACCGTCCACAGGCCTCGAGGCTCCGAGCCGGGCGGGCTGGTGATGCAAAAAGATGCCGGCACTCAGCCGTTCGGGGCGCACCCAGAACCCCCGACGTCATATGATTTTTCACGACCCGATTCCCTCGGGAGCGGCCAAGAGGGGGGTGTCCAAGAGGGGGGGTGCAAATCATGACCGGCGGCATGTGCGCGGCCCAGCGGGGGGGCCAGGGACGTAATGAAACAAGAAGAGGCGCCACGAAATCTGGGGAGATATCATGGCCCACGCCATGATATCCACCCCCCCCTAGTCATCACCCCCTTCTTTTCCGCCCCCGATACCCAAAGGTTCGGACCCATTCCCCGGGACCGGCTTCTCATCCTGGGTCGTTGCTGACGGCCCCGAGGCCCGAGGAGGGCCCACCATGGGGCCGAAAGCGGCGGACGCAACCTGCCGTCGTGCTTTTTGTTCACGACGCAGCCTTTGACGATCGATGCACGGCGTCGATTCGAAGACGCCTCCTCCTCCCCCTTCTCCTCCTCCTCCTCCTCCGCCTCCTCCTCCTCCTCCTCCTCCTATTCCTCCTCCTCGTCCTCCTCCTCCTCCTCCTCCTCCTCCTCGTCGGCGTCGTCGTCGTCCTCCCCCGACGTCGACGACGAGGGGCCCCCCGCGGCCAGAGCGCGGACGGCCCGCGCGGCCGGGGGGGGCGCCTCCGCGAGCTGCCAGGTGCCCCGGCGGCTCCGCCGCGGGGTGGCCTTGGTGGGCGCGTCGGGCACGTGCCGGGTCACGGGCATGCAGCTGTGCGGGACGTCGGAGGAGGCCTCTTCTTTTTGTTATGTAAATAATGTGTATGCATATATACATGTGTGTGTGCGCGGAGATTGAAAGACTTGGCGAACATTTCCCGCCGATTGTGGTGGCAAGCTGGGTTCCCGGGTGCCCAGTTCCCGGGTTCCAGGGTTCCCGGCGATTGGTTCCGGGCCAATGTCGGTGGGTTCTGGGTTCCGGGGCTCCCGGGTTCCTGTTCAATCTCCTCAGCGAGAACCATCCACTGACTTTTTTTCTGGTGTTATCGTTTAAATCTGAAAGCTAGTTCTTCCACTACACCTGAGAAAACCCAATCGGTGGATGATTTGAAAACTGATACTATGGTTCTTGAGATCGACTGCGAGATCGATAATGAGATCGATAGTGGAATCGATAGTGAGGACGATTGTAAGGTCGATCGTGAGACCGAGAGTGAAATCGATTCAATGAGATCGATAGTGAGATCGATCGCGAGATCGCTCATGCGATCTCTAGTGAGACCGCTTGTGGTATTGATAGTGAGATCGATTGTGAGATCGATGGTGAGATCGATCAAGAAATCGGTAATGAGATCGATGGTGAGACCGATCGAGAAGAAGATCGACCAGGAACCTGGGATCCCGGGAACCTCGTCGCCCTCCGAAATCGGGCCGGAACCCGGAACCGGGGTACCCGGGAACCCAGAACCGGGAACCCGGGAACCCGGGAACCCAGCCTGCCACCAAAATCGGCGGGGAACTTTCGCCAAATCCTTCAACATCCGCTAGGACCCCTGCAGTGCAAGCACTGATTGGGGAATGTTTTTGGACGTCGGAGGAGGCCTGTTGGGGGGGTGGGCAGCGGGCGCTGCCGAGGGAGGGCGCCGGGAGGAGGCTGGCCACTGATACAACTGGCTGGACTTGAAACACATATAGAACATGAAGTCTTACAAAAAACAGTTACGGAACTATGATTCTAAGTTTTTGTGCGAGTTCAAACGAACTTGTAGGTATAAAACTAAGTAAAATAAGTTCCATAAGTTCTGGGGCGCTGTTTTTGGGATTCAGCGGGCGCGATAGCACTCGCGAAAACCAAGTCCAACTCGTGAACATAGAGCTCCTTTTGATATCAATGGCCCAACAGGAAACCCTCCCCCTGTCGGTGGGGTTAAAGGTTTTCTCCCTCTTCCTCCTCCAGCGGGTCGTCCGCTTCACTCCGACGTTCTGGCTCAGATGTGCCGCCCCCTTGTTTATTCTTAGTGGCTCGCCTTTGGCTTTGTCAGCGCCCCTGGTATGGTTTCACAAATTTGGGATGCGTGGAACATGGCCGAAGAAGGGCCGATCGAGCCCCTTCCCATTGAGTGGCAGCGGGCGTGCGCTTACCAACCCGTTGGATCGAGCTCCGACATGCCCACGCCCATCTCGCTCAGCAGCGACCCTCAATACGTTCACGTCTCCTGGGGTCCGTCAAGTTCGAGCAGCTCGGGGTCTGCAGCAGCCCATGGGCCGCAATATGACATCGACGGTTGGGCCCCCGACCAATTCGCAGCTGGAGATCTCCACGGTTGGGCCCCCGATATTTTCGCAGCTGGACATGCACAAGAAGGCCCCCTGGCTCCTGAAGATGGTCGTGGCCCCGATGGCCCCCTGGCTCCTGAAGATGGTCGTGGCCCCGATGCACCCGTGAGTGAGGCGCAGCGGCCGAAAATGAACAGGAAGGGCAGCGGAGTGAAGCGTTGTAGGCCAGGCCATCCTGACGGACCTCGCTGGGGCACCCGTGGAGGCACAAAAAACGAGAATGTTCGGTGGCATACCGCCAAAGCGCGTGCTGAGAAGCAGGGCCGTCTTAGCGAGTTTCTGTTGAACAATCCGAAGCCCAAGAATTCTAAGGGGCTCCAATCATAGACATCTGGCTGGCATCGTGATTCGGTTCCCGCTGCACGCAGGCAAAAACACACACACCATCATGATCATCATCACCCGCGCCCGCTCCACTCACCCAGGCTCGCCCGCCCACCACGTGCGTTTTGTGCCACCCATGTGCCCATATGACTGTGCCGATGGCGCGTCCTGCGTGGGCCGCGCGAGGGCTCCAAGAAGGCTCTAGTTTGTTGCGGGTGCTCTGGGGGGGGGGGCATCCCTGGGTTCGCCCTGGCGCAACCTGGGGGACTCCTGACAGCGTTGCACCCCCTAAAAAAAAAAACTGCGCGAAACCGCTAGGGGGACAGACGTGCAACCATGAGGGAGGGCACACGCGAAACCATATAGGGGGGACACACGTGAAACCACTACGGGGCGTCTACGTATCCCTCTCTCAAGCTCTCTTTCCCTATCCCTCTCTCTCTATATATATCGCAATATACATATATATTTATATATATATATATATGTATATATATATATATATATATATCTCCCGATATTTGGGCGGGGACGGGGCGGAGACTGATGAGACCTCGAGGGGGCGTAGGGTTCGGGGCCTCCTGGGGCTTCTTGGGGACCTTCGGGGGCTCCTTGGGGGCTTTTTTTCGCATTTTCGCCACTCCCAGCGATAGTTTTGAAAAAAGTGAATTGACGCAAGCGCCTTTTTTCCAAAACCCTCGCTGGGAGTGGCGTTTTCTGCACTTCGCGCCGTTTCGGCCTTTCGACTGGGACAGCCTCATCCCCATCCTAACTCGTCGTGCTCGTTGTGAGTGATTCTCCTCCTCCCCCGTCCTCGGCCCTCCCCCGTCATCGCTCCCACTCCCCTTCTATCCCCCACGTCTTCCGCCTCTTCGTCAGCATCGTCCTCATCGTCCGACCCACGTCTCATCCTCCACCTCCCATCCTTGCGCATCCTCCGTTGCGTCATCCAGTGCACCTTCCGCCCTCCCCTCCAGCGGCACGCCCGCTACAGGCTCGAGACATGGCGTCCCCAGGGACATCGACCCGCATTCGGGCTAGGCTGGGGGCAATACGCATCTTGTTGCGCGATCTCGTAGGAACACCCCAACACAAGCCTGTGTCTCAGACGCAGGCTACTGCGGTCATGGCCTTGATCAAGAAAGACGGGCCGCAGCTATCCTCGGAGGAGAAGGCCCACCTGACGGCCAGGGTTGGGCAGGTGTATTTCTTTGAAGGTCATGACGTGCCAATCATGGAAGCGCTGGCTGGCCTCGACGACGTTGCAAACGGGCGCAGCAGCAAACGCAAAATGGGCCAAGACTACCGCCCTTTCCTTGCACACATTTCCAGGGCTGGCTGGAGCAGGCTTCTGGGAGATGAAGTGCCTGCACACGCGGCGCTCAACATTCTCGTTCAACGCATCATTCGCCTAGGCGGGATCAACCCGTGCGAATACAGCATGAAATTGGTGACTTCGACGTGGATGTTCATTACAGATGAGAACGTGGACCAGCTGAATTACTGGGCCAAGAAGAAGAACCTGGAGCATGTGAAACGAGAATTTCGACGACAAGCGGATAAGGCGCCAGCGCCGCCCGTCTTCATTCAAGATCTTCCAGGATCTCCAGCCGAGTTGCTGACCAAGTTCCCGCAGATATACCACCTGGCTTTCACAGCTGAGGACGTGCCATCAGCGTCCCCGCTGGACTTGAGGAAGCTCCGAGAGCTCGACGACTCCTACACATGCCGCGGGGGGAAGACTCCTCAACGCGGCGCGGATAGCTCTGGAGCCATTTGCACCTGTGACAGCGACACCAGCAGCAGCATGGAGCGGCTCATGATGCAGCAGATGCAGCAGATGAACTTCCTGGCGCAGCTTGCAGCACGTGCGATCGGACATGGTGGTCACGGCCCAGAGCCACAGGATCTACTTAGGAGCGCGAATTTCGATGTCTTCGATGCGCCTCGCCGGCCATCCAGGCACCGAGCACTTGCAGCGGGCAGCGGCTTTCAAGAAGTGCATGGGGCAGCGGCAGGCGATTCAGCAGCCGAGGCGCCAGCGGCAGCAGCACGCCCTCCACCTGTCGAAGTACTGGCTTTGCTGCCGCCCCGCGCTGCAGAGCAAGCAGATGGCCAAGCAGGGCAGTCTCAACCGGCTGCCGCACCAGCAGGCGTGCAACAACTATGTGACGTGTCAGGCCCGCCACAGATTGCGCCTACAAGCGGGACTCCATCATTCCCTCCTGTTCCTGGTCATCAACTTCCCGCTCGTCCGAGGGCATCTCTTTGTGCGAACGTGCAGCACGCGATGGATGTGATGCAGCGGAAGCGGGATGACGCGAAGCAGAGGGCGGCGATGAAGAGACCTGCCGCTGCAACGCCTCCAATCGCCAGTGGAGGCGATGCCGACGAGGCCTACGTCGAGGACGGCGATGAGGCTCCAGCCACGACCACCCCCCCCATGAAGAGGGCCAAGCCTGCAAACAATAGCCCCGAACAACACAGTGCAAAAGGAGAACCACGAGTCGCCTTGAAAGCTGGCAAGGCGACGCAGACGCTCGCCAAAATATCAGTCGAAGATTTCGTCGGGTGGAGCTCGAGCGACAAAGGTCGCACCAAAAATGCTTTCGCCTCGGCGGCGTACGGCAAGGCTAAGACTCGGGCTCTTGGTGCCAAGTGGCCCAAGGAGAACGCGCTAGACCTGGCGCGCCAGACCTACAGGCGCGCCTCGGCAGTCTACGACGCCAACTGCACAGCCTGACCATTCTGGCAGCTAGCAATGCATGGCAGTCCTGCTTCCTCACCTTTTCGTCCATTTACATCTCATCCAGCCTCTCTCCTCACCCCTCCTGCCCCACCCCCCTCCCTTCATCCTTCCACCATTCGTTCCTTAACATCTCATCCTCCTCATTCCCTTTCTCTCCCCGTCCTCCCCCCCCGTCCCTCCCTCCTGCCCTACCCCCCGTCCACATATTCCTTCGTCTCTACTCCACGTCCGTGCCAGCACGTTTTCGCCAATTGTATTTTGCATGCTCTCGCTTTGGGGCAGCGCTAGGGGCTAGTTGCAATCGTCGGAGGCGCGACGCAGACAACGGCGCGACTGGAAGAGATCCTCTCTGGCGGCCTTTGGGGGATCAGAGGAAGAGAATGAGCATGGCGAGGAACGAATGGGGGGACAAGGAACACAAAGGAAAGATTAGGGAAGAAGAGTAGGATGAGGAGGATGAGGAGGATGAGGAGGAGGAAGAGGAGGCAATGGTAGGTTAAGACGGGAAAACAACGATGGGCGGGTAATGCCATGCGATGGGATGTTTCGGTCAGTGCCAGGCGATAGGAGGCTACGGCCAGGGCGAGAGATCCCAAGAGCCACCAAGAACGCTCCAAACGCCACCAAGAGAGCCCCCCCCCCCAAAAGAGACCCCAGAGGTTCCCAATAGGCCCTAGAGGTTCCCAACAAGGCCCAGCAGTCCCCCTCTTGCCCACTACCAGCTTTCTGCCCCTGAAAAAGCCTTAGTGGGCAAGATCTGTTTTGGGTGTGCTTGGGGGCCATCTAGACACCTCCCCCCCCCCCCAGGGGCCCCCGAGAGGCCGCGCGGCCGCGTCAGCAGCGCGTTAGCAGCGCGTTAGCGGGGCGTTAGCGGTGGCGTTAGCAACATTAGCAGCTGTGTTGCTAACGCGTTAGCAACGTTAGCAGATGTGGTGCTAACGGGCTGCTAATTGTTGCTAATGCCCTTGCTAATGTTGTTAACGGTTAGCGGCTAACGCTGCTAACGCCACCACTCGATACATTCGCATTAGCAACAATCCGTGCTAACGGTTAGCAACGTTAGCACGGGTGTTGCTAACGGTTAGCGGCGCGTTAGCAAGATGTTGCTAATGCCCTTGCTAATGTTGCTAACGCGTTTGCTAACGACCTGCTAACGCCTGTCCTCACCCTGCTCCTCCACTCCTCCACCCCCAGCGGCTTATCCGCTGCAGCGGCTCAAGCTGCCGCATCTGAGAGCTACCGATCGCGCCTTACTCGCCAATCCACCATGGCGAGGCTTGAAGAAAACGACTGCGCCATCTGTCAGGGCCCTCTCGAAGATGGCTCTGGCGAGCCAATCCACACGATGATGTGCGCCCACCGCTACCACGCCTACTGCGTGAACACGCTCTGCGAGACGAATGGCTGCGAGCTGCTGGACGTGGAGTGCCCCTTGTGCAAGGAGACGGGGCAAACGCTCGCAGAGAGGGAGAGGACTCTTTTCGGAGACGGTGGCGCGCTCGACCACGACCCCGCCCTCGACGGCGGCCAGATCAGCAGCGACGACGGAGAGCCAGCAGCCGAGGAAGATGACGAGCAAGCTGCTGGCGAGCCAGCTGATGACGACTCGGACGCGCCGATCTCGAGGCAGCCGAGTCGCCGCGTCTTGATGAGCCCCATCATGCAGAGCCTCGCCGCTGGCGCAGCGGCTTCGGCCAAGGGGAAGGGCAAGCGCTCGAAGGGCAGGGGCAAGGGCAAGGCCAAGGCCAAGGCCAAGGACCAGGCCAAGGCCAAGGGCCAGGCCAAGGCCAAGGGCCAGGCCAAGGCCAAGGCCCAGGCCAAGGCCAAGGCGCGCGCGGCAGCGCCTGAGCACCACGAGGAGGCCCCTGAGCCACGCGAGGAGGCCGCGGGGCCAGACCTTGAGCCGCCGCCTCCGCCACCTCCAGCACCAGGTCCACCTCGGCCACCTGCGGCACCTGATCAGCCACGGCCTCCTGCTGCTCAAAGGTCAATGTTGTCGACGGTCCCGAAGTTCTGCAGCGAGTACCGCCTCTACTGCATGGACTGCGGCCACGAGGTGCAGCGCCACGAGGGCATCCGCCTGAGGAACAAGGCCAAAGGCATGTACCAATGCAACAGGTGCAACACCCACCTGTCGCAGCTGGGCCAGGAGTTCGGCAAGGGCCTGACGGGGAAGATGGAGTACATGAGTCCAGATGCGAGGAAGACCTTCATGAGCGACATTCGGAACATCACCAGCGGCAAGGATGTCTTTGCTAAGTTCAAGGAGATGATCAAGAACTGCGAGGCCCACGAGGAGTTCTACGCCGAGGGGGGCGAGTTTCTCCCCCTCAGCGTGTGGGCGACGAGAGGGTTCGACAGGGAGCGGATCGAGCAGAACAGCAGGCCGACAGATATTGAGGAGCACGAGGTTTTGGGAACCACATACAGGGTCCCTATCCGCAGCACTGGGATCCGCGGCCATAAAGGCAAGGCAGAAGAGAGCGTCGGGGAAGCGGAGCACGACAAGAAAAAGTTCAAGAGCAGCGATGACCCTGGGCAGGCTAGCGGCTATGCGGGCCAGAGCACTGGCGCGAACGGCAGCGGCACCAAGGCGAAAGACAGCGACAGCAGCGACAGTTCCAGTTCGTCCTCGAGTTCCAGCAGCGATAAGCACAAGTCCAAGAAGGCAAAGAAGAAGAAGAAGGCAAAGAAAGCCAAAAAAGAGAAGAAGAGGGCCGCGAAACAGGCCCAGAAAGAGAGGGAGCACGCCAAGAGAGAGAAGCAGTTGGCCAAAGACAACGAGAAGAAGAACAAGCAGCAGCTCAAGATGGTCGATAGCCTCTACGATCCGATGAAGGACCTCAAAAAGGAGACGGAGAAAATCGTCAGGAACCCCAATTTCGGCGAGCTGAGGCAGCGCGTGCGCGACAACGTGGAGAGCAGCAGGAAGCTGTTGAGGGATATCATCTCGGACTTTGACGAGGTGAAGGCTGGAGAGACCGACGTCACCATCCGCCACGTGAGCGACGCCAGCAAGGCGAAGGACGCCCCTTCTACTCCACCTCCCTCGCTTTAAAAACATACCTCATCCTCATTTCCTCCTTCTTACCTTTCCCCCCTCCTCCTCCTCCTCCACCCCCTCCCCCTCCTCCTCTTCCTTTGCGCAGGAGCTCATCAGAGACATCAAGCGCAAGAACGATTCGGTGGAGCAGCTGCTGTCGATCGGCTCGCGGTTCGACTGACACGAGGGTGTTTTGTTCCAGGGCAATCGCAAAACAATTGTATTCCACGCTTCTTTGAGTGAGTCAATGAATCGCGTGTTGAGGACGCGCGACGGCCCAACTCACCGTGCCACGTGCAACCGTTTTTATCAGAAAGCCCAGGCTGAGAGACGGTGAAAATCCAGAGGCCTCGGAAGGGGAGGGTCCAGGATAGAATAGGAGGATGATGCAGGATTAAGTAGGGGATTAAATAGGATTACGTAGGATGATGCAGGATTAAATAGGATTAAATACGATGATGCAGGTATTGCGAGGAAGCAAGACGAGGGTGAGGTGAGAGGATTACATCATTGCCATCAACCACATAAATCACCACCATCATCACCATCACCATCACCATCTTAACCATCAGCGATACCAACACCACAACCATCACCATTGCCATACTCAACATCTCGTCGTAGCGGCTTTTCCGCTGGTGGCTCATGGCCCAAGGGCGGGAGCCAAAACGTTTGAGGTGGCAATCAGCTCTTCACGCGGGGGGGCACTTCCCTTCATGGCCTGCGTTCGCTTATATCTAAGATCTCTGGGGAGACAGTTGGGATATCAACTTTGCGCGAAGCCAATCAGACAATATTTGAAAAAGTTCGTTCTGACACGCAATTCAACTTGAAGGATGGGACGCCCTTCAAATGGGAGAAAGCCCATCCAGCGCTAGCGCTCCAGGAAATAGTTGCCGTGTCCCCTGACTTACAGGAATGTTTCGCGAAGGCCCTGCGTCGTCATCCATCCTCCTTAGATTCTCGGTGGAAGCTTATTCTAGCCATGGACGAATACACGCCAGGCGACAAAAAGAAGCCCAAGAACCTACGAAAGCAGATGGTTGTATCTTTTTCGTTTCTACAGCTAGGGGCGTCCGCACTATGCCATGAGGCATGCTGGACAACGTTTGCGACGCTGAGGTCAACTATAATCCAAAAGACTCCAGGGGGGTGGTCTTCACTGCTCAAGGTGCTGCTGAGAGACATTGTACATGGGCCGCTTTCTTTTGGCGCTGCAGGCGTACCCCTTGCAATACAAGGGCAGACAGCGCTGATCTTCGCTGACGTCGGAATGATCCTCACAGATTTAGACGGGCATCGAATGGTGTATGATTGGATGGGCGCTGGCAGCCACAAACCATGTCTTCTATGCTCTAATTGCTGGAAAAAACGGTTGCCACTGATCCCAGGAGCGTTCGATATTTGTTGCACCGAGTTCGAGAACTTTACCCAGCTAGATACCGACACAATGGTCGAAACAATGGCATTTATGGTTGCATCCAAGCATGACTTTGACAACGGGTTACTGGGAGTAGGAGAATTCAAAGAGTTGGAACAAGGCATGGGATTTCATCCAAATGAGCAGGGGATTCTTGCTGATCATGAGCTGTCCCAAGCTTTGGAGATTGCTGAAATTTATCGTTCGGACTGGGTTCACGACTTCCTTCAACACGGTGTGTTCGCCAGAGAATGCACGGCGTTCGTTCGAGCGTGCGAAGAGAAGGCGGGCCTGGAATTCTCGATGTGGGCTGATCTTATGAAGTCCGACTGGAGGTTCCCGCGTAGCCGAGGAGTGAAAGCCTCGCAACTACACGAAGCCTTTGCATCGCATAACGATGAAGAACATCGCTCAGTAAACTGCAAAGCATCGGACTACATATGTCTATACATGATGATGAGACATTATGTAGAATGCGATTTGCTAGGAGACCCAGACCTGCAGAAAGAATGTGAATCATTTGTATCGGCTTGTCTAGTTTTAGATTTGTTGCTGGAGGCAAAGCGAGCTCCAGAGATGGGACTCGCAAACATCACGCTAGAGCTGAGGCGGGCATTGAAAGATTTCCTTGATAAACACAAAGAAGCGTACGGAGACAGATATTGGCTTCCAGAACATCACCAGATGCTGCACATACCTTGGCAGATTGATCGAGATAAAATGGTTCTGGATATGTTTGTGGTGGAACGGCTCAACTTGAGAGTGAAAGGACTCGCAGAGATAATAAAAAACACCCAACGTTTCGAGCATTCGGTCATATGTTCTCTGTTGAGCAAGCATCACAACCAAGTGGTGGACGGAATTGTTGGACTCAGAGACGGTTTGATTGGAGGCACGAAGCCTTTGACTGGGTTTCCCGATGTAACGCTGGCGCGCCAAGTGTGTTTCGAAGGCAAGCAATTCCACATTGATGATATCGTGATTTTCGATGATTCTGCAGGCATGGTCATCACATGTGCACAAGAACATAACAACTTGTTTCTAGTTGTCCGCAGCATGCTTCCGACGGGCGAGAGAACTCGCTCGTCTGTCTGGTACACTTTAGGGGAAGGCCACACTGCAGTCAGTTTGCGGCACACGTTTGCTGCCAATGCTTGGTACAATGTGCATGGTGCTGTAAATCAGTATGCTGTCCTCCTTTGATAAAAATGCATTGCGATTTAAGCACATCACAGTCATTTGTAAGTCCACTACAAGTGACATACGTTACATATAAGTTCCATAAGTTGTTGTATGCATATACGCTGTATGTTCGTGTTTTGCACATGTACGCACAAACATTCATCATGTCACTTGTGCCCACCGCGATGTAACTTACACCACATACGCTACAACAACATTACTTGCTGCACTTGTAATGAACTTCGCTTAGATTAAATAAGCTTGAGGAGCCCTCAACTTAAGTTGTTATCCTCCTTCTCCCTCATCTGCAACCGAATGTATCAGCAGGGGGGGGGTGGGGGGGCGGAGGCTGGAGGGGGGAAGGAGGGGAGGGGAGGGGGAGGAACAAGGACTCGAGGAGAGGAAGACTCAGACCCCCTGGAAACATGAAAAAAACACGACGGGTTTTTTTCGCTTTCAGCCTCCGGGGGCCCTCACCAGGCCTCGCGCGGGGCCGTGAAAAAACTGCTGCACACTCCGGATGAAAAACCGGCCCTGGTGAAAGGGTCCGAACCTCTGGGGGTCGCGTCATGGAAAAGATCATGACGTCGGGGGTCTCGGGAGTACGAGTGGGGGGAGCACGTCGGCGGCGAGCGAGGGGGAGAGAGAAGGAGAGGGACGAGGCCCCCTTTCAGAAGGCAGCGAGACTCCTCGGAGGCCCTCCGGCCCTCGGAGCAGTTCCCAGCGCCTTCGTGGAAGGCCCAGGAAGCTTCTCAGAAGGCCGGGTGACTCCCGCGCCTCCTGAGAAGACCCGCTCCTTAGCACTTCCTCCCAGGGCTCGCCGCCGAGAAGGGGGCGAGTGGGGAGAGAACGGTTAGTACGAGGAGGGCGAGAGCTGGATAAGTCTTGTCCACGCTGGCCACCGGTGCGGTCTAGTATCATCGGGGCGCTCTTCTTTGTATGCTATGCGTCTCTCGCTCTCTTGCTTCTCCTCCAGCGCCTCCCTGCCTGCCTCTCCCCACTTATCCCTCCCTGCCCCCGGCGTCCCTCCCTTCGCCGTCACTGTTTCACCAATCAAGCGCCCCCCCAGAGCTCTCGACCCACCCCTAGGACTGTTTCTGCGTCGCGGGCGTTGTTTCGGTGGCCATGGGCCCCGAGGATGGGGAAACGAACACGCACTGCTACAAATGCGCACTCCCCAGACCTCTCCGCCGGTGCGCTTTCTCACCAGAATCTCCAGGCGAATCCGGCGGTGCATGCCGACGAAGGCCTCCCCAGAGGCCAGCAAAAAGCGAGAACGAAGGAAGTGCAGCGGCATCGGCACCGCTCCCTCCCTCGAGGGACCTGCCCCGAGCAGCCGCAGCCGACGCAAACGAAGAGCCGCCCTCTCGGCGCGGCCTCGCGCCAAAGCCTCGGCTGTGTCCAGGCGGCAGGCCGAACGCAAAAACGGCGGCCAGACGGGCCTCGTGCAGCCACGGCAGCGGGTCGGGGTCGTCGAAGTCCCTCCGCGCCACGGGCGGCTCCAGGTCGTCGGCCGCCGCGGCCGCGGGCCCGCCTGCGGGGTCGGCGGAGGGCGGGCGGGGCGCAGGGCGTGTCGGGTTGCACCCCGGGCGGGCTGAGGTCACGCAGGGCCAGGCGAGGGTCCGGGTCTGCGCACGGCGGGGCGCGTCCTGCTTCCAGCCTGCTGGCACGAGTGCCCCAGAGGAAGAGAGAGAGAGAGAGAGATGGAGAGGGAGAGAGAGAGAGAGAGAGAGACGAGAGAGAGAGAGAGAGAACGAGAGAGAGAGAGAGAGAACGAGAGAAAGACATAGAGAAACATAACGACATACATATCTATATATACATATACATATACATATAAAGAAAGATAACGAAACAAACAGAGAGAGAGAGAGAAACTAAACAACAATAACATAACATATAAATGCATGCATATAAATATGTGTGTAGTTTTAGTTATACCTGTAGAAAGAGAGAAAGAGAAAGAGAAAAAGAAAGGGAGAGAGATAACACTTACTCCGACGGAAGAACCCCACATAGAATCCTCTGGGCGAACCTGGAAAAAAAAAACATCACCGTCGTCCTCGTGGTTGGTGAGGCGTCCTGGCTGTCTCTTCTGCGTATATTTCCTGTCGCCTTGGCGCGGGCCCCCCTTCCACTCCTTACGTTGTCCCCATCCTCGCCCCCCTGTTTGTCCCGCGCCCCGCCACCTCCTCCCCTTCCTGTTGCATGAGCGCGCATGTCGATGTTCCTCGGCGCCGTCGCCGCCACGGCCAGCACAGGCGCGTTCTCTACTGGTCACGTCGCGCAGCCGTTGGGACAACCCCGCGGGCCAGGCTGTCGGGACAACCCCGCGAGCCGTTGGCGCGCAAGACCAAGCCGTTGGGACAACCCCGCGGGCTTCGATCGAGGCGCAGCCGCGCTCAGGCGGAAGGCGACACGAAGCCCAGCTCTGCCGCGAGGTGCTTCGCCTCCGCCCTGGACAAAACCGCCTGAGACTTCCTCCATTTTCAGGTTTGAGGAGCCCAAAAGTGACGACAGATACAAGGTTCCGATGACCCGCTCGGATTACCAACATGATCTGCGGGCCCCATAGGGAGGGAGCTCCCGCCTGAGACTTCCTCACAATTCACTCAGAGACGAGGCTCCCGCCTGAGACTTCCTCCAAATTCAGGCTTGACGAGCCCAAAAGTGACGACAGTTACAAGGTTCCGATGACCCGTTCGGATTACCAACATGATCTGCGGGCCCCATAGGGAGGGGGCTCCCGCCTGAGACTTCCTCCCTCCAAATTCAGGCTTGAGGAGCCCAAAAGTGACGACAGTTACAGGGTTCCGATGACCCGCTCGGATTACCAACATGATCTGCGGGCCCCATAGGGAGGGGGCTCCCGCCTGAGACTTCCTCCAATTCACTCACAGACGAGGCTCCCGCCTGAGACTTCCTCCAATTCAGGCTTGAGGAGCCCAAAAGTGACGACAGTTACAGGATTCCGATGACCCGCTCGGATTACCAACATGATCTGCGGGCCCCATAGGGAGGGGCTCCCGCCTGAGACTTCCTCACAATTCACTCACAGACGAGGCTCCCGCCTGAGACTTCCTCCAATTCAGGCTTGAGGAGCCCAAAAGTGACGACAGTTACAGGGTTCCGATGACCCGCTCGGATTACCAACATGATCTGCGGGCCCCATAGGGAGGGAGCTCCCGCCTGAGACTTCCTCCCAATTCACTCACAGACGAGGCTCCCGCCTGAGACTTCCTCCATTTTCAGGCCTGGGGAGCTCAAAAGTGACGACAGTTACAGGATTCCGATGACCCGCTCGGATTACCAACATGATCTGCGGGCCCCATAGGGAGGGGGCTCCCGCCTGAGACTTCCTCACAATTTACTCAACGATGATGAGGATGAGGATGATGAGTGGTGGTGAAGATGAGTGGTGAAGAGGATGATGATTGATTGTGAGTGGTGGTGGCGATGATGATGTTTGAATGAGGATGATGCCGATGCCGATGATGATGATGATGATGTTCATGAGCGTGTGAGAGAGTGCGAGTGATGATGATGATGAGTATGTGAGTGACTAAGCATGTGAGAGAGCATCATCGATGATGCTGATGAGGTTGATGATGAGAGAGTGTGAGTGAGTGTGAGTGGGTGTGTGTGTGTGTTCCTGTTCCTGCGCGGGGCGTCCAGAGAAAACAAGAACCCCACTTTGGATGTGGGGAAAAAAACACAGAGACAGAGAGAGAGAGAGAAAGAGAGACAGAAAGAGACGCAGAGACAAATAAACATACATACGTAGAAAGAGAGAGAGAGAGAGAGAGAGCGAAGGAGAGATAGAAAGAGAGAGAGAGAGAGAGAGACAGACAGAGAGAGAGAGAGAGAGCGAGAGAGAAAGGAAGAGGAAGACAGAAAGAGAGAGGGACACGAAAAAGAGAGAGGGAGAGAGAGAGAGACTGCGAACCGCGCTCGGCCATACAGAAGCAGCCTGGCCGCTGTGCCGCGGGGCCCTGCGCCTCCTGGCAGGGTGGCCCCAGCCCCCGGGACCCAAGGGCCCTTCGCCTCGCTCGTCGGTCGTCCACGGGGTTCGGGGTCGTCCACAGCTTCGGGGTCCGAAGCGGGCACCGCGACCCCGAATCCCGTGGACGACCGACGAGCGAGGCGCGGGGCCCTTGGGTCCCGGGGGCTCGGGCCACCCTGCCAGGAGGCGCAGGGCCCCGCGGCACAGCGAGCAGAGGAGCATGGGACGCGCAAAGACACACCAGTGCCACATGTTATCCTTGGAGGCGCGCGTCCGACCCGAACATATAGCACACCCATCTTGCATTGTATCGCTTCCCGAACGGTGTGGCCAGAAAGCGCCCGCCAAGACGCATATCGGAGGTGAAAAGGTGAGATTGAAGTGGAACGGAGAGCCCCCCTAACGGGAAATCGGTTTCGGTTTCGTGTTGGTGCGTGCCGTGCGTGCGGGCGAGGCGAAGCTGCGTGGGCGGGCGAAAAGAAAGTCTCCTCCGGCTGAGGCCCGGCCGGACCAAATGTTTCCTTTCCGGGGGCCAGTGGGGCGCGGTGTCCCGCCGGTGTCCCGCCTCTGGCTGAGGCGCGGCCGGACCAAATGTTTCCGGGGGCCGGTGGGGCGCGGTGTCCCGCCGGTGTACCGCCGGTGTCCCGTCGGTGCCCCGATGATGATGATGATGATGAGGAGGAGGATGATGATGATGATGATGATGTCGATGATGTTGATAATGATGATGATGATGATGATGATGATGATGATGGTGATGGTGATGATGATGGTGTCCCGATGATGATGATGATGTTGACGATGTTAGTGACGATGATGATGGTGATGGTGGTGATGATGGTGTCCCGATGATGATGATGTTCATGATGATGATGATGTTGCTGATGGTGGTGATGATAGTGTCCGGATGATGATGATGATGATGATGATGATGATCATGGTGATGTTGATGATGATGAGATGATGCTGATTATCATGAAGATGATGATGGTGTCACGATGATACTGGTGGGGTTGATGATGATCTGTTGATGCTGATGATGATGGTGTCCCGACGATCATGTTGATGATGATGATGATGATGGTGATGACGATGATGGTGCCCCGATGATGATGATGATGATGATGCTGAGGATGATGATGATGAGGTGATGATGGTGTTGATGATGGTGGCCCGATGATGGTGATGATGATGCTGATGTTGGTGATGATGATGGTGTCCCGATGGTGATGATGGTGATGGTGATGATGGTGACGATGATGATGGTGTCCCGATGATGATGGTGCCCCGATGATGATGATGATGTTGCTGCTGATGATGGTGTCCTGGTGATGATGACGTTGATGAGCATGTTCATGATGATGGTGATGGGATGATGATGATGGTGGTAATGTGCCGTTGTTGATGATGATGGTGTCCCGATGACGATGATGTTGATGATGCTGATGATGGTAACGATGATGGTGCCCCGATGATGATGATGATGATGATTATGATGATAACGATGATGGTGATGAGGTGATGGTGGTTGTGATAATGGTGTCCCGATGATCATGATGATGATGATGATGATGATGATGATGTTGATGACGTTGATGACGATGATGTTGATGGTGGTGATGATGACGTTGATTGTGAGATCGATTGTGTCGATAGTGAGATCGATAGTGAGACCCAATGTGAAATCGATTGTGAGATCGATAGTGGGATCGATAGTGAGATCGATTGTGAGATCGATAGTCAGATCCATTGTGAGATCGATCGAATGAAATAGATCGAGTGAGATCGATTGTGAGATCGATCGAGTGCGATCGATCGAGCGAGACCGATAGTGAGATCGATAGTGAGATCGATAGTGAGACCAATCGAGTGAGACGTTGGTTCCCCCCCCCCGAACCTCCTTATCACCCGAGGGGTGGTCGTATAGGTACTATGAGATTTCTCGGTGCGCGCGTCGCCCCTGGGTTGGCGACGCACATATCGTAGAAGTGTGTTGGGGCGACGCCGAGAGCATGAAGCTGACCTTTTGGATCAGCGAAGGAGATCGGGGACCTTCTTGACTACCTACCAGACCACCCCAACCCAACCCGAAGACCCGAATCTGGCCCGAGTTTCGGGGGGGGGGCTACGGTGGGTTCGTGCGGCGTCGGCGCGCGCAAAGGCTTTTGACACCGCGTTGATCGTTCAATCTTGCATCGATCGCGGCCCCGACTGTTCAAGGTTCAATCCAGTCGGGTCCATCGTTGCTTCCGCGTCGCAGAATGAAACCTTCAAAGCCTTCGCTGGCGTCGCCAGCGCGTCAACGCCGCACGAACCAACCGTTCGGGTTCCATCTGTTTTTTCACTGTTTCCCGACCCCCCCCCACTGGAAATGGAGGGCAAATTGAGACCTTCGGGTTGGGTTGGGGTGGTTTGGTGGGTGGTGACTTCTGACTTGGGTCAATCTGGACCCGGGCGGGTCGAGACTTGCAGGATCCAGCAAGATCCTGCGCCACCCCCCGTCAGTGCAGCCCTGGCTCTGCAGGATCCTG